TCATTTTAATTTAGGGTTAATAAACCCACATTACTCTATCAAAGATCAAACTATTAAAGAAAATAGCAAAGACAAATATCATCAAACACAAGTTATTACATTAACTTTGTTCAAAGCTATTGTTGTCACCTCTCTGCATCACTAATGTCCCTGCCGTCGTCCCGTGCATGGCAGCTACATCCAAGAGCTCCTCACAGAGTCAGGTCTGCCTTCAGCCTCTTACAAACACTGATAGATGATGTATCTCGTCTCTCAGCTAGCTGTGTTGTTAGATTGCTGCTAGTTCCTGAACTCGGTCTGCGATGGTGTTTCTTCACAAACTGACATTTGTAAAAGTCTGTATCTGGTCGGAGCTCACCTGCTCACATACCTTTAGCGTGCACTGGGCTGTAGCTTCTGTAAATATATTCTGCTGTGATTGCACTCTGCCTTTTAATTCTTGGACAATTTGATGTTTTTCTTGGAATCTAAATTTAGCTCCGTGTTTGGTGTCAAAATGCCGACGTGAATAGTATCCTTCATCACCGACACGCATCATAACACAGAAGACAGACCCGTTTTTCTCCCTGAAGCACAGACATGTATTCTCTTTCCCATCTTAAATTACATCTTCTTCCCTCTGCATCAATTGTTCTCTCCGTGGACATTTTGGGATTATTCGTCGATCTTTTTCAACTCAATCACTTGTTGGGAAACCTCTTTACGGGCTGTTCCCTCTCCTGTCCACCTGTTGTGATAGTTTTAATGTCGGTACACAGACAACATGCTATCTCATAATTTCAACTTTCTATCTCATAATTTCAACTTTCTATCTCATAATTTCGACCATGGGGATACTTTTATTTTCAAGTCTAACTATTTTCTTTCCAAAATAAAAAATAATTTTTTTTTTTTTTTTTTGCTGGTGGATTTGTGGGCCACATAAAATGACGTGGCGGGCCGGATTCGGCCCGCGGGCCTTGAGTTTGACACGTGTGATCTATAAGGTAGAAAGACCTCACGTGTTCTTATCATATCTACTAGCAGGTGGAGGGAGGGGGGTGAGCTTGTGTTTTGTGGGGGGAGGGGGGGACTATTATTGGATTCAACCTCACCAGGTGAGCGAAAGAGCCGAAGCCCCCGCGCTCCTCTGGACCCCATACCCTACCTCTCACTGCCAAGGTGACCTTCCAGAGAGAGAGAGAGAGAGAGAGAGAGGTGGGTGCTGACAGAAACCTCTCTGGTTTGCTTCTCTCCTCTGAAGGTTATTTCCAGCAGCAACTAGCAGAGAAACCACCGAGGCCAAAAAACATGTTATCCCAAGCACCGGATGTCTCTGGTCAGAAGCTGGAGAGAGGAGACTCACACACACACACACACACACACACACACACACTACACGCCCACAAAACAGCCCCGCGCTCAACATCTCATGCTCTGGGTAATTTCGCCAAAGGTGTTGTTACCTGTTTTACCCGCCTGTGTCTCTGTGAGCCACGCGGTCTGCCGCCGCCCGTGTCTTGGCCCACTCTAGTACGCATGTCTCCAGTCAGCGGCCCCTCACATCCGCTCTCATATACCTGCTGACAGGAACCCCTCCTGTGCGCAGTGACGCGCAGCACGTTCACTGCCAGATCGCGGAACGTCGCCCAGAAACTAAATGAGAAGCTTTACACTGCGCCATAAAAATGATTGTTATCACATAAGAAGGTTTTGTAGCAAAGTAACATTTAAATCCATTGACTCTTTTTACATTTCTTCCTCGTTTTTTCTTTTCTTTTGCAAAAGCAGGAAAAAATATGGAAATGTGAGATAACCACTAAGGAGTCAACATTAACTTTAACACGTGCTGGTTTTGCACAATCCGTCAACATTTCTCTTTGAGTGCATGAGTCTGGCAGGTCAAATTAAAAAATAAAAATAACTTTGGCTCCAACAGAGCTATTTTCAATACACATAAGAATTTAATAATCTGTTCGTCCCAAAAGACGCCATCATGTCCTATTTGCTGAAGAAATACTGTGTGAAGGTGGTGTGTGTGTGTGGGGGGGGCACTTGAAGTCACTCACGTCACAGCAATTACGTCGGTATTCCTTCTGGTCGTTTGGAAAAAGGAGAGTATATTTGACGCGGGGCCTCAGTTGGGCTCTGAAACTGGATCTCATGACTTCACCCCCCCCCCCCCCCCACACACACACACACACCACCACCAACACGAGCCTCTGCAAACAGCCTCGTCTGGCCCTGATGCTTCATATCTCAAAAATATTACCTGAATCATGTCGTTTTATGTACATTTTTTTCCTCCTGTTGTTTCTCTCTCCACGTGCACGAGGTTAAACGTGAACGCTTTAACCGCGAGATCGTATTATTATAGATGTGTTTAATCATCACTAGTTATGTGACCGCCACAAAGACGGATGCCCGAGAGCCCGAAGCGCGTGCGCTTTAATCCACGATCTCGTTTGTCAGACTTAATGGAACTAATAACACAACACTCAATCACGTGACTTTCACTCTTCTCTCTCGCTCTCTCCTTTGCATTTCTAATTTTGGGTTTATCTGCAGTGGCTTGAGGTTAAACAAATGAAACCAGCAGTCCTCCTCTTCCTCCTCCTCCTCTTCCTCCTCCTCCTCCTCCTCCTCCTCCTCCTGCTCCTCCTCCTCCTCCTCCTCCTCTCTGTGAAACCTCAGAGGAGAGCAGAACCAAACGTTACTTAGCCTGAACGTAGATAATGAGGGCCCGGTTGCATTAAATGGACAAACAGCAATCCGGCATCTCCTGACCCCTCGATGCTCCTCTCGGCTCCATTGATCACCCCCCCCACACACACACACACACCCCCACCCCCACCCACCTTATGAGATAATGCAATTACAAACATCAATAAGGAGCTGCGAGGGGAATCATTATGTGGTGACAGTGATAAATGATGCTGCAGAAAATAGCGGGCTCCTCTCAAACAATCCGCGCGCCCAAGGGGCTTTTGAGGGCCGGGGCCCCGTCGCCAAGGAGATAGATGACAAAATGGCCCCCGCTCAACAGTCCTCTCTTTTCTTTCTCCTCACCAACAGATTTTTGTTTTTCTCTCCCTCCTTTTGTTTCGAAACCAGCTGCCGCGCGAGCTTTGAAGGTGGAGTTCTTTATTTTGGGGGGTTGGAAAGTTTGTCCTGTGAGGCGTTTGGGGGCCGCTGTTTAATTTGTGTTTGTGTCTATATTGATTTCATAAAGTAGCTCAGATATTGTCACGTCATTTCGGCCATTTATGTATTTCCGGTGTAATGATTTTTGCTTTGGAAGATGGAGGAAATCGATTGGTTGAAGTATTGTTTTGTTACAATTTTCTTTCCGTTTCCAGTTGGATCTTGTAGTTGTGAAGCCTGCAGGTAACAGAGGCCGCTTTAGTTCATCTACATAATCTGCACATATTTCATAAGGAACATTTAACACCTGTCTCTCTCTGGAGGAGAATAAAAGAAAGTAAAAAATATATATAACCCTTCGATTTGTGCTCACTCTGTTTCAGTAGGAAATCAAGGCTGGACATGGCATTTTAATTTGATTATATATATATATATATATATATATATATATATATATATATATATATACTCTGCATTAAACCTCTGGTGTTGCTTCTGTAATGAAAAACATATCGAATTGTTTTTTTAGAAATAAAATACCAGAGAAACTGTAAAGAAAAAGGAAATAAAATATATTCGTTTGTAAAATGCTGTTGTAAATGTAGCAGGAAATAAAGATGAAATCAACAGTTTGATAAACAGGTCCGGCGTTCAGCAACCGGTGATCTGAATTAATAAGATACACGCATTATTGCCGTGGAGCTCTATGTTGTCACGGCTTGCAGTGGAACAGAGAGCACGCGGCGCACCGTTACGCGTCCACGTTCCCCGTTTTAAGCGTAAAGGCGCATCAAATATCTGCTCCGCTTCGGGAGGAGGACAGGCCTGTCCGGGCACCTCCGCTGCTCTGGCGCACATTTCTGCTCCGTTCATTACTCTGACAGTTCACTCCGCGGTCAGTGTGTGTGTGTGTGTGTGTGTGCGTGTGTGTGTAAGACAGAGAGAGGTTGACAGGCCGACCATCATCATCATAAACTCCCACGTTCCGTTTGACTCTCAGCTTTTCAAAATTAGCACAAGTCAAACTTCATGTGTGCACGAAAACGGCTTTAAACTGCAGAAGACACAAACAGTCAAAAGTCAACTTTTTATGCACGTCAGCAGAAATGTAGGTCAGCTCTGACAACAACAAACAAACATGCAAAATCACAGTCATGTAAAAGTGTTTACATCTGAAGAAAATAGAAGACAAATTGCACCATTAAAATCTGCCTTTTTTAAATGAATACGAGTGTATAATAAATAATAAAATAAATATATTTATCTTACAAAATAGTTAAAAATGCCACTGGAATAAAACAAATCAACTTATTTCAAGAATTGAATCGAATCAAATGTGTTTTTTATTATAAAGGACAGAAGTGACTTCTGACTTGTGTTAATAATTAGCACTTGTTTAGAAATTAAATAAATTAAATGCAGTACGAACAAAAAATATTTCATCTCACGGGCACATTTTTACGGAAATAATTTAAAGAAATATCTTGTTTTCACATCGAATATGAGACCAAAGAAGACGTAAAACTACTTTTCTTTTGAAGTCATGGTGAGAGTGCATTCTTTAGTTTTAGCTCTTCTCCGTTTGCATCTCGTTTTAGCTTTTCCACTTTTATCAAACTTCCACACGGGTTGTTTTTGTGTATGTGTTTGTGTGTGTTTTACGTCCGTGCGTAAAAGGAGAGGTGGCACCGTGCGCCATCTCCAAAACGTCTCTGCCCCGGACAGTTACCAGGCCTCCCTAAAGAGGGCAGTCAAGCATGGGCTTTCTGCTCCGTCTCCACAGCTCCCAGCGGCCACAGGCTCAGGAATTCACATTTCACAGCCTCGGATTTTCCACCACGGCGGAGAGGCGAAGCAATTAAAACGTCGCCCGGGTTTTTTAAGAGCGTGTCTTTTTTTTCCTTCTTCTTCTTCAGTGTAAATAGCATTCACTTCAGCAAAGGCAGTAAAAACACAATAGCTGCACGGAGGAGAGATAGAGAGGGAGAATGGGGGAGTATTGATTTACACGCGCATATTGTTATGGATAAAACAGACTCTCTCTTGTTCGCTGGTTTGGAAAAAAACAAAACACTGACTTTGGGATTCAGGGCTGCTCTCCAAAATGTATCAATTAGATAAAAGTCGCTCGGCTCGGTCGGCTCAGCCCGCTGAAAGCGCAGCGTATCCCGGAGACAACATCGGCGGCAGAGCGCCGGGCTTCAAGCGGAGCCCTTTAGACTGCGGGCAACAAGGCGTGAGGGAGAACTAATCTCCCCATTTACATGTTCGCAGCAATTTTACCTAAATGAATTTTAATGCTAAATGAAGGATAATTCGCCTCCTCGCCTCCTTTCTCCGTGTGAGAAAAAAATAATAATGTTGTGCAATTGGCTGCACATTATCCGCAGCAACGGGAGCAAGGTTGACTTAAGTGCATGTTTCTTTAAGTATAAATGGATCTCTGCTTTTCTCTCTGTGCGCGTGTGTCGACATGAAAACATGTTTGTGCCAACAGGAGTTCACTTTGTAGAGTGACATGTTCTTATAGTTCATATGTGCTTCGTCAGGGAAGATAACGTGAGTCTAGTTATGAGTTCTGTTATTTGAACAAAAAATTATTTATTTACAACACAGATGTACATATATACCCTTCAAAGTAAAAGCATAAGAAACATGACTTGTCTTCAAAGGAATCTTAGAGATGTACGTAATACATGTTTGAAGCAATGGATAATGGATGCATTTATAACCCACACGCACGCGCACACACACACACGCACACACGCAGTGACTTTTACATTCTCTCCTGTCTGCTGATCAGCGTTACATCATCTGGTTGAATCAATATGGATGGACTGTGGTATAAATGGTGTTTTCCCGTAGCCTCTGTCTCTCCCTGTTATCGGGCCACATCAAACACACCGAGGGGGGAGAGAACCCATTGGCCATGCGAGTGCACGGCCTTGTGACATAAAACACATCAATAGGACACTGGAACAGACAGCTCAGAGGCCCTCAATCACAGACACACATGGAGAGAAACAGGAAACAACATGTTTGTGTGGACACACTTGTAGTTTCCCATCCGCAGTGACCTGTTTTTAGCTCGTTTGTGAGCGTTAGCCGACAGCTCTGTATCATGTTTTTTGTTAGCCTGTCATGACGTCAGCCACGTTCACATCAACATTATGTGTCTTGTCTTCGTGAGAACAGAGTATAAAAACCGATAAACCGGAGCGATGGCAATTGGATTAAAAAAAACTAAAACGTGTACATCCAAAATGTTAGCTTCTGGGTAAACTGTGTTTAGCTTGAAGTCATCGTGTTTGGAGCTGTAGGAGGAGTTCATCACCCCAAATGGTCAGAGAATGTTTCTATACCAATAAAAACGTAAAATCAACAGATATGAAATATAAGAAAAATCACCAAATGTTGAGTTACAAAGCTCAGACACAGGAGAATGTGAACTGTATGTAACAACCAGCACATCTGAATTACTCTCTTACCATCCGAATAAAGGCCGGCGAGAAATGACAAACTCATCCAATTGTCCGTTTATTCACTTTTTTTTGTCTTCTTTAAAAATGCATTGTGATTTTTTATGGAGGGGGGGGGGCAGGAGGTCAAATTCGATGGACAGACGGCACACACATAGTGTGGAAAGAAACCAGAAAAAAAAGGGAAAAAAGTTCACATCCTTTTTAAAAAAAAATCTATTAGAAACAACATAATATGCGGAACAATACAATAGCATTTACAATACTTAAATTCCCAGTTCTTGTGAGAGTCCAGCGTAATTTTACAACAGTATACAGTATATTTTCTTTCTCCACTCACTTCCCAAACTAGGGGTTGATATAGTTATACTTTTAATTTCTTTCTCTTGCTTTCCCTCCTTCCATGTTTCAATCCACTATATGTTGTGTTTTTTTAAAGGGCACCTCTTTTGCTTTGTTAGTGTCCTGTCGGATACAGACATTGGCTTCTCCTTGGTCCAATTCCATCGTCCCAAAGAGTGGAGCGCTCTTCACAGGAAGTCTCTTTCGTTTGCCCGAAGAGTCAGGAATATTTCACCAGGTGCTGCATACCCCTTAAAAGTACAGGCGTAGGACACGGTGTGTCATCAACGCTCACAATCGCAATCACAATCACTTGTTAATGGAGGAATCCACGTGAGCCTATTGGGCAAAAGAACGGGGGGCGAAGAAGTCTGGAGCCCACCAGAGAAGAAGCAGGGGTCTTTGGGGGAGGGGGGGGTCATCTGGGTTGGACGTAGTTTCGCCGCTGGATTCAAGTTTCCATGTTGTACATGTCAGCCGAATAAAATTGTTGTTGGGTCTTGGGAGATGGACTGAGGGGTTGCTGTTGGTCGTCGTCAGGAAGTCAAGGAGTCCTGTTCCCGTGCTCCGGAGGCCTCGGTGAGACACGCCATCCACCGGTTTGATCCTGCAGCTCTGAGGAAACAGAAGACCGGTGATCAGGTTAATGAGAGAGTTCTCAGAGAGACGACTCATATCAAAGTCACACTTAAGTGGCACACACAGGGACTTGAGACTTGACTTGGACTCTAGATCAGAGCCTTGACTTGGACTTTGGATCAAAGACTTTCGACAGGACCTGGACTCTAGATTAAATACCTGAGACTTGGACGCTAGCTCAAACCCTTAAGACCTGACTTGGACTCTAGCTCAAAGACTGACTTGTAAACATGTCTGCCTGGCAGCATTGACATGTCATTTGTTCAGAGTATTAATACAAACACATTGAATGCAAAACAAATGAAAAACTCTTAAGTCATTCAAACGTTATGATGCTCTGAGCGAGTCGGCATGTCGCCTCCACCACCGGGGCAGAAAGCATTTAACCGCAAAACCAAACTGTTGAATGAGTGGAACGTCATTAAACATTCATTAAATACGACAATAGATCACACCGGACTTCTGAAAGCACACTCTCGTGTTACACTTTCAGCCCGACAGCACACAGATGGTGGGACCTGCTGATCCGACCCGGGGAGGAGCAGTAAAGTATGTGGCAACTGCTGCAAAACCCGACAAACGTGCTAATCTGGGTCAGAACGCAGACCCAAAGCTGCCCTTCACTAAGACTGTGTGGATGTATGAGAGAGAGAGAGCACTGGAGGGTTTAGTGAGTTAATCCTACACCCTCAGTAATGCTGCTTTAACAGTAGGAGAGGACTTAGAGACCAAACACACACGATCGACTTGAAGTGATACCGAGGCCCTGTGCTTAACAGTTCCTGCATAATCTGTTCAATGGACTACAAGGACATTTAAAATTAGCCTTTGGTTTATCTTCTGACTGTTAACAGTCACAATTTGACTGTGAAGATGAAACTATTTCAGGTTTAGTATTAAAGCGACTTACAAGTCAATGTTGTTTTTGAAGGGTTTATTTTTCTCTCTACTAATTAATCTGCACGTCAGTATGTTCTTCAGAACTCTTGTTTTTGTCATGAGAACTTTCACACAGATATTAAACTGCGGAAAAAAGGCCATTTATTACATTTTTAGGTTTTTCTGAGCTTTGGTACCGTTAATAGAGCCTCATGTTGTGTTCAAAACGTTCACTATAGTCGATAACAACATGGAGGCTTGGGATACCAAGATGGAAAACTTTATTTCTCCTTTCAATCTCGACAAGAACAGCGCAGACCAGGTTTTTACCTTTCACAATAAAAGCCCCAGACATACAGACTGTAACTATTTGCCAGAGGGAACTCAAATCATTTCACTGAAAGGAAACTCAATAACATATCGTTTAGACTATACAACAGTTATATGAATAGTTTAGAAAGGGAAATATTCGCAGGCGAGTATTTCTCATTTTTGTGCCGGTTATTCGTCACCCCCTCGATGTTTAAAGAGCTCGACGCAGAAGAAGAAACCTTGAATCACAGAATCTAAACCGTCGTGTCACACATCAACCGCCGCAGCCCGCCGCATGCCATCAATCCTCCTCGTACGATGAAAAATGAAGTAAAGAAATCCATCGTCCTCGTTTCTCTCCCTACATTCCTCTCTTTACCGCCAACAATAGCTGCCGTCTCTCTCCGCTGGTGTAAAGTCCACCGCTGAGGAAGCCAACCGAAGAGGAGAGGTGAGACTCGCGGCCTGCCCATCACCTGAGAGCGCCAGGGGCCCCGTCCACGCGTTCACTACACACACACAGACACACACACACACACACACACACTAAAGAGGGCCACTATAGACGACACAAAGGCGGGCGGGGAAAAGGACAATGAGGTGCAGCGGGGAGGACGACAGCAAGCGTCCTCGTTTGTTATTCCCCTCATCCATCAGTCTTCACCTGGCTTACGGAGAAGAATAGGTGCGACTTGAGAAGGGGGGGGGGGCTATCACGTGAGCTGTGCTAGCTTCAATTAGCTTCCTATCAATGAGAGAGGTTGTAGGGGTTACACATCTCCCTGGACCTTAACGGCATCAAACTTGTGACCTTTCTATTGTGGGACGTAACATGTGGTGACAAGCCGAGTCATTAGCAACGCTACGCTAAGCTACGCTACGCTTAAAGCAGTCAACCACTACATTTACACACAATTTGAATATCTGCTTTTTGCAAGTTTCTGACGATGTTTTCTGCAGAAACAGTGAGACAGAAACAAAAAGAAATCCTAAAAGGAGCAGAAGTAATTAGACTTCAAACAAAAGAATAAAGAACGTGTTGCATCGATGAGTGAAGTGAATCCATGTCTCTAGTAAACCATATGCGTGCTTGAAGGAGCACACGTTGCTAATCAGGTTTTTCACTTAATAAGCCGATCGATACATTGAGCTTTCTTCCTGAAGGCTCCGAGGGGGATTCCAGAGGGGCCGAATCAACAGGGACACACATTCACACGGACAATACGAGGGCACACAATCCCCACCGGGACACGTTCTTTTTTCTCCAATGTTCATTAATAGTAAAAGTTCATCCACCAGAAAGAGAAGTCGAGGGCGGGGGGGGGGGGAGCTTGACCTCTCGGCAGAAGGTTAGCAAATTTGTGCTTAATGATTGGAGCAATGAATCCTGGGACAAAGGGTCTCCAGCCGAGACTGGCAGCAAAAGAGGGTTTACAGGCAGCGCTCACTCAAGCGTTCTGCCCGACATTTTGGGTAAAAAAAAAAAAAAAAGCTGAGAGCGGGGAGGGCCAGGAAAAAAACAAATTCCATACTGCTCCGCCGCCATAATTAATTCTTCCACACTGCGATAACTATTGTCCTGAAACAGAAAATTACAGTTCCCCCCCTCCTCCGGCTAATCTTCGTGGAAGAGGGGAAAGCAGGGGCGAGGAAGAAAGAGGGTAAGGGTCACCCGAGAGTCACCCTCGTCGCTATCAAAGCCTCGGCTCTGCTTCTGCTTCACTTGCCGGGCTTCGTCTGCGCTGACAGGTGTATTGTTTCTCAAAGGGGGATATAAGCTCTGTGATCATCGCTGGGTGGAAAGCGCTCATAACGCTCCTCACTAAGCATGACTAATTGGCTTTAGTTTTAACTAATGTTCCAGTGTGACTGCTAGACACACCTCCTGCATCGAGGGCCTCGGCGCTCCGCCGGCACGATAACCGCTCAATTTAGCCCCGCGGTAACAAAAAACTCAACTCTGCTAATGAAAATTGCTTATAAAATATAATGAACCTGTGCTCCCATAATCAAATAAGATAACCGCCCCCCCTCCCCCGACCGTAATAACCTATTAATTTAATTGGTCATGAAAGAATATAACACATCACTTACATTTAATTGACCTAGAAAGGAAAGTAGCAATATCTGGCGGAGGCTAGCTAGCAGCTAGCGACGGCTAGCTGGTGAGGCTGTAAGGAAATGACTAGTCGTGAGGAATCAATCTCTCTCCCAGCTTCTATCTCCCTCACTCCCTTTTCCTTCCTTCCTCCCTCCTTTTACTCCCTCTACCCCTCCCTCTTGTCGTTTACGCTTCTCTCACCATCTCTTCATCCCGTCCCTATTTCCGTCCCCTCCCTCCCTCTCTCTCTCTCTCTCCCTCTCTCTCTCTCTCCCTCTCCCTCTCTCTCTCTCTCTCTTCTTCCCTCCGCTGTCTCCTCGTCCTCTGTGCTTCGCCCGTCTCACAGAGGATTCCTCTGGTGGCCCAATTACGAGATTCAGCAGGCAAATTGAGGCTGTTTAAAGCGAGGTCTGCTGGGAAGGCTAGCAGCTGCTGGAGAGAGGCAGCTTGGACACGGAGAAAACCAGCCCTCATGTTTACACACATAAACACAGACACACACACACAGACACACACAGACACACACACACGCACGCACGCACGCACGCACACACACACAGACACACACACACACACACACAGCCCTTTTCTTATTACCACGTCTCTCTACATTTCAGACCTGAAAGAAGCCATTCGATGTGAGATTTTTTTTTGGTCGTGGACATTTGCGACAGAAACAAGGGCGGCATATTTTCACCGTGGCACGAGCGCACGCACGCACATACTGTGGAGGGTTAATGGTCTCTATTTTTGTAAACTGAATAAGTCAAATCCATCGGTCACACCTCTGGTGATGGCATATTTAATTTGGATCTAGTCAATTAGGCCCAGCTAAGCTCCATACCCTGCTGGCTACCTCCTCCATTTTGCACTAGTTTGCGTCCCCTCCCTGTGCCAGGAGTAATCCTATTACCATACACACACATGCACGCGCGCACACACACACACACACACACACACACACACACACACACACACACACAGCTACACATGTGCATGTCTGTATATGGTATAGACGCACCCACACAGGTATACATGCACACACACATGGTATAAAAACACAGACACACACACATACCAAACAATGCCCAACAATTGGACCCGTAGCCACTTCATACACACTGTGCACTGTGACAACAGCGAGCCTGTATACATCCAGAATTATGTGGGAGTCTATTTGGCCCTGGGGCGAGAGAGAGAGAGAGAGAGAGGGAGGAGGGGGGGGAGGGGGTGAGAGAAAGAGAGGGAGGCGGGGGGGGGGGGGGAGAGGAGGTTAGAGGAAGAGAGAGAGGGACAGAGAATTAAAGAGCAAAAGAAAAAAGGTGTTTGTGTAAAAGAGATAGGGGAGAAAAAAAAGACAAAGAAGGAGTGAAACAGAGCGAGCATTAAAAATGACAGAGAGAGAGAGAGAGGGGGGGGGGGGGGGCTTCTAGCTGGTTAGTGTGTGTATTAATGTGGCTCATGCATCAACAGCAACCCGGCAGATTTATGACACTTAAGGGGCGCTCACTTCTCCCTCTCTCCTTGCTCCAGCGACGACTGCTTACATTTGTTTTTTTTTACCAATCAGTCTGTTGCCATGGCAACATCCTACCTGCCCCCCCCCCCTTGTCCCGACCCATCCCCTCCTTCTCATCACCCCTCTTTCTCCCCCCTCTTTCTCCCCCCTTTCTCCCCCTTTGCCCCACACGCCTTCTTTCTCCTCCTATAGAAATATTTGCACCGTTACACAAAAGCTTGATTTTCATATTTCTTTGAATATTATCAATAACTGCTCATTTGTATATTGTGTATAAATACGAATACACACAGTGTTCAAACTGTCTGTCCCCCCCCTCCTTCATCTCCTCCCTCTCTTTGTGTCTTTCTTCTTCTCTGCTCTCCTCCCTGATTTGACGGGTGTTTGGTAGCTTCACTCGCACGCTACATGACATGGAGCTACAAGGCTGTGATCAAAAGCTCTTATCAGCAGACCGCCGGGTGGGACGGTTAGAGAAAGAGTTGCACAGAAACATCAGCCGCGGAAGAACAAGAGCGTGTTTGTAGCACCAACAAATAAATGAATTAATTAAACCCAGAAAAAAAGTACAAATTCAGTAGTTTGGAGAGCAGCCATTTGCAAAGCCAGGACGTACGCTAAATAAAACTCACATCACTTATTCTTCATCGTTTTGAGGAAAATCCCATTTTTCTGAAGACTTTAATTAAAGCAGGTCACCTCCTGATCTGCAGTAAATGTGAATACGTTCAGACAAAAGATCTGTAAGTGTGTGTGTGTGTGTGTGTGTCGGTGTGAGTACTTACATCCCCGTTGTGTTGCGATTGGTGGGACAGGGGCGCGGCTACATGTAGTGCCACTGACCTTCCATGCCCATGTTCATGCCCATTCCACCCATTGCTCCTGAGAAACACACCGTAGAGAGGAGTAACAAGTCAGACTGCGTCACACATAATGAGCCGTAGTGCGTAGATATCGCACAAAATGTTGTCGTGATTTATTCACGTGATCTTGAACGAGGACGGATAAAAAAAAATCACAAGTGTCCAACAAACAGCGACCCTTCATTCAGGAGAACCGTGTGGAACGAGAAGTAAATGTTCATCTTATTTTAACCCAAACAAGTATCTTTGTTGCCTTAACTGAACCTAGTTATTTTGAAAAGACCGTAATCGTGTAGTGAGTGGAAACGCGTGTTGTAGGCTTTCGTAAGAAAACGCACGAAAAATGAGGCGTAAAGCTTTAAAGTTATTATTGACCGCAGTGAAGCCGGCGCTAAGCGCTCACCTGTCCGTCACAAACAGTTCACTGATAACAACACTGTTTACATGTCTAGAGATGATACAAAGAAGGTCATTGAGTCATTTTGAGATGTTTTAGAAACAGGAAGTCTGAGTAACTATTTTTGGAGCCAAATCAAATAGTTTACAGAATATTCAACCTTTGTTTCTTTATAATGCATTAAATACTTGACTTCTTCATAAACGTCAGTAAAGTAGTCTATGAATATGAAGTATCTCCTGGTCAGAGTGGAGGTTAGTTTATGGCTTGTTGCCGGTTACACTCGTGTTTGTTGGTGAGCTCGCGTACAAACAAAGCTTTACTTTTGGTAGGATATCACAGGAACCGTTGTACGAGGATACATTCATTATGTCTAGACGCACTTATTAACTAAAGTTATTTACAGTTTATTTAAAGAGACGGCAAACGTGTAACCAGGAACACGTTAGATAGCAGAGATGTTTCCTTTTAACTCAGACAACATAGCAGAGAAGCAAAAGGCTTAAATGTGGCAGGGCGGGGTGTGGTGAAGTGAGGGGGGGGGGTTATGTAGCCTGACAGTTTATCCAAACCTGCTGACTTTGAGTGGAGGGTGAGATAGGGGTAGAGACTTGAGAGAATCCCAGAAAACAGGGGATAGAGGAGGAGAGGAGCTTAAGGACAAACTCTGGGATTAGACCTGATGGCGTGAGAGAGAGAGAGAGAGAGAGAGAGAGAGAGAGCGCAAGGGAGTGGGAGTCAGGAAGGGGATGGTTGTGTAATGTGATTGACCACACCTGTTCTGGTTTGTGTGTGTCTAAGGAGGGGGAGGTAGCAGTGTGTACAGTACGTGTGTGCTAGCTTCCGCTAAGTCCTCATGTGTGTGAGAAACATGGCAGATACTGAACGTAACACACCTAGAGATACTGTGAGAAGCGGTGAGGAAAAGAAAGGCACAGACACGCAGAGGGGAAAGCCTTACCAGGTGGTCTGATTCCCATGTGCTGCTGGCCGTCCATGACGAAGCCCCCCATCGGCTGGCCATCTGGGTTGTAGGGAGGTCCTTGACTTACTGTGGACGGAGAAGGAGACAGAGGGACGGGAGGGAGAGAGAGGGGGGAGACAGAGTGGTCAATTAGTGCATTTAATTAAGGCTCAGTGGCCGAAGCGAAGGATCATCTGTCGGCCGGTACACGCACAGGGAGCCGGCCGCTGTCTCCCAACGCCTCCGTGTCTGTGCCCGGCTGTAAGCCCCCTGGTAGACTTTAATGCGTCTAAGAGCTCTAAGAGGGATCGGACCGGGAGAGCTCCACACACACTACGGTTCACTAAGGTGAGACTGCAGCCATCTGGAGGAGGCCACAACGGTTCTAGAGAAGGGAAACATGTCAGCCGGACCGGAGTGGGTGCATCAAATTATTTCATCTTTTTTACTACTTAAGGCAAGAAACTACAGGCAAACTCACTGGTTATGTTTTCTTTCAGACTAGAGGAAATAAAATATTCATTTTATTATTTTGTCTCTTTACGGCTGTAGATTTCTCCTAAAGTCACCAAAAGTTACAATTACATAACGCCTCATTTGCATATTTAAACATAACAGTTCAGTAAACTTGTAATACAATAAATACTCCTCTTAATGTGAGTGATGAAGTGGTGAAGTTTCATGGTGATATCTGTGAGTTCATGTGTTCACCTGTAGAGTCTTCTTAATGTGAGTGATGAA